TAATTGTAACCATCTCCTACTGTTGGTAACTGTAGAAAGATCTTTTTCTACCTGACTTAGCTTTACCCTTGGAGTGGATGCTCCATCTACTTCCAGTAGGGTTTCTACTGCATAATCTGCTGCATCGTCCCAAGAAATCGTGGGAGGTACAACTTCCCTATTCCCCATTGGCAGACCATATACCCTATGAAAGTCAATTGGTGATATCTTCATGCGTGTCCCGTCAGGTAGCTTGAAAGATTGTTTCATTGGATTGTATTTGTTCATTACGAACAGTGCAAAATGGGTGTTTATCTTTGTCTGCTTGATTGACATTAAGCCTGCTAGGCCTAATGTCTCAAGTTTCTCTTTCTGGTCATCTTTTATAGTCCTTGTAATTGCAGATATTCTTGTTGGGCTGCACCTTGTGCGAAAATTTTTTCTTTGGTTTACCATAGTGTACCTGAATGTAGAAATTAGGAATAGTCTGTTAGCGTGCTTTTTATCATGATATACCATATGGTACCATAATGGTTTCATACCATACCAAATCAAACCATATATTTATCTCATTTTACCATATGGTAATTACATCAAACCATGTCTTATAACATATTACCATATGGTAACGAAGTAAAACACAACAGGATGTATGTTTTCCTCCATTTTTACAGCATGAAACCATAGTTTACCACACATTACCATATGGTAAAGAAGCAAAACACAGCAGGACTTATGGTTTTTTGCTATTTTACAACATGAAACCATAGTTTACCACTCATTACCATATGGTAACGAACCAAAACACAGCAGGACTTATGGTTTTTTGCTATTTTACAACATGAAACCATAGTTTACCACACATTACCATATGGTAACGAAGCAAAACACAGCAGGACTTATGGTTTTTTGCTATTTTACAACATGAAACCATAGTTTACCACTCATTACCATATGGTAACGAAGCAAAACACAGCAGGACTTATGGTTTTTTGCTATTTTACAACATGAAACCATAGTTTACCACTCATTACCATATGGTAACGAACCAAAACACAGCAGGACTTATGGTTTTTTGCTATTTTACAACATGAAACCATAGTTTACCACACATTACCATATGGTAAAGAAGCAAAACACAGCAGGACTTATGGTTTTTTGCTATTTTACAACATGAAACCATAGGTTACCACACATTACCATATGGTAACAAACTAAATGACAGCAGGACTTATGGTTTTTTGCTATTTTACAACATGCAATCATAACTTACCACACATTACCATATGGTAACGAACAAAACACAGCAGGACTTATGGTTTTTCGCTATTTTAGAACATGCAATCTTAATTTACCACTCATTACCATATGGTAATGAAGCAAAACACAACAGATTCTACATCAGTTCAGCAACGCATGGAGAGTGACTGCGATACTGTTCTATTGTTCTGTGGATGGATTTTCGAAGAAAGAAGTGAGGTTTTACCTTGATATTTTGTGCGAAAACGATTTTTGAGCCTCGTTGAAGTTGGAAACTCTTCGTTTTTCGACGAAGAAGCGAGAACAGTGTATCGTTGAATGATTCTTCGAAATCCTTTGCGAAAATCGTTCGATTTGAAGTTTTTTCTGGAAGTTTTTGCTGCGATTTTGGTGAGAGAATTGAGAATCGAGAGGAAGAATGGAGAGTTAGAGAGCAGAGAGGGAAGTGGAACTGTCGCTTGAAAGGTGAGAGGAAGAAGGAGAGAAGGCGGGACGGTTGTCGCTGTCACGTCTGCAATTCAAATTGTCAGAGACGAGATTACGTTTTTGCCCCCGCGTGTATTTTAAGTGGCCTGATCTGACGGCTGGGAAGATGGCGCGATGGACGGCCGGATCATCGGTTACTGACCGTTACTGATAGGTCGGTTACTGATAGGATCCGGACCCCATGCACTTTGCAAAAATCGTTTATGATAATTACAAATTTTCTTAATTAACAAGGTCTAATTTTATTTCCTAAATTATGGCACGAAGCCTCATTTCGGACAGCCGGAGATGGTACGAATCTTGGCTTCGGACGGCAATGGCACGACGACGGGGAGACGAAGATGCTAGGAAGACGATGAAGGGAGGACGAAACCGACTTTTTGGGAGTTATTCTGAGGTTGGATCATCGTTGCGGGAGCTTCGATCAAGAGGGACGACTACGCTTGAATTTGTGGTCGGCGGAAATTCTCGACAGAGGGAACGAAGGACAATAAACACTTGTTCAGTATTTCACAAAAAGGTAATTAAGGGATTGGTTGATTGTCTCGAAATTTAGTAATTTAAATCTTAGAGAAGAGTTAATTCATACCATCTCTCTCTTTATATATGTAGTTATTTCGTGGTTAAATTTGTTCTTACCTATTGATATTCATTCTGTTTTGTATAAAGGTTGGGACGCCTCTTAAGCGCTCGGTTTGATTACCAAAAAAAGTATTCATTCTATTTTTTTGAAAACAATAGAAAATGTTGAGTTTTTTGTATTCCATTAATGCAATATATAAACTAGTTTTGTGTCTGCCTTTTAGGCGGACTGACATATATTTGTGTGTTTTGTAGTTTGTATGCTAGATAAAAATATTTTGCTATTTTGATTTCATATGTGAAAAATCTCGAATTTTGAATTTTTTTCATTATTATGATGGATATTGGGTCAATATATAATATAATCTACTATTTATGTGAGCATCATGGGTAGAAAGGGAGATAAAAAAAAAGCATTGAACTTTGAAAAACATTAGTTTTAGTCTCCATACAGTAGTCTATTTAGTAGTAGGTAATTTGCATAACTAGCAAATTGAATTCTCTGTTAATAACATCAAACCTAGTTAGGTGCTACAATAAATTATAGAACTATTCCTCATATTTGGTCTAGTATATTTGAATAATTAAAGTCAACTTGTTTACACGTTTATGATATGAATCATGGGATCTATTCTTCTCAAATTAGTGACTAAAAATTGAGTTGTAAACTTACACATAGGCTCAAATTCTGTATTGGAAGTCCGGCCAAAATCAATAAGCGATACTAAAACTGGAAAATTAAAAGCATCACAATGCAAAAGCTAGTCAATCATGCTACAAAATTCATCATTAATAACCAAGACAAGTGGGGCAACTCCACCAAAACGATCCTCATGTCTCTTTCATTCTATGATTCCTTATAAGTCCTTTTCCTATCCTCCAACCAATGCATACCAAAATTGGCTAAATTGTGCGCATCTTTCCTCTCCCCACCATTCAACTCGTTAAAAATTGGTTAACCTATTAAAATTTATTACCCTACTTATTTCATCTTTACCATGAACTTAGTATATTTACTCGTTTAACTATTTTTTATAAGGGTAACATCAGTTTACTTTTTTGTGATTAAGATACTACTTAAAAGATTTGAAGTTTTGAACATGAAATTAGGGATGACAATTTTGCCCATACCCATGGGTTTTTTACTATCCAACCCAATTGGGTTGGGTATGAAATCCAAATAGATAGATATGGGTAGAATTTGATGGGTTTGTACTCATACCCATTTACTTTGGGTTGGGTTGGGTTTATAACAAATGGATTTGGGTTTGTACCCATGCCCAAATACAAATTACAGTTTGGTACGTAATTTTTTTTGCATATAAGTCCTCAAAATATCGATGGAAAATTATGTTTTGGTACCTAAATTTTTTTGGTCTTACATTTTGGTACCTAAATTTTTCAAGTTTTACAAATAGGTCCAATTTTTGCATGTGTAGTTAAAACACCCTCAAGTAAATGGATATCCATATCCAACTCATACCCATTTAGATTATGGAAGCAATATTCACACATTACCCAAACCCATATACAAACCCCCCAAACCCATATGCACTTCACCCATACCCAACCCATTATCAATGGGTCTACTTGAGTTTGGGTATAATTACCCATGGATGGGTAATTGTCATCCCTACCTGAAATCGTCAGATTATTGATTAGTGATATTACCACTAGACCAATCTCTTGCTCATTTACTCTTTTAACTTTCTTCATTGTTGGGTTTCTCAACCTTGTATTTGGTGTTGTGTTTCCGCTTTGCGTTTTTGACAAGTAGGTTATTGAGCTATGAAGATAATAATCATTGTTAAACTAGATATTTACGTTATATAAAATATGAATTTAACATTTTAACAATAAATTCAAATCATATGATCTTAAGATTTTATGAATGGTATAAAAAGTTCAAAATTATTCATAACTCCTTATAAACGATCATATATTAATAATAACATCATAATTTTATTCACACTCAAAATGAGGTTGGTCTAATCACTAATGTTATATGAGAATGAGAAAATTAATTACACCTTGAGTTTGAATCTTGAGGCTAACAATTAATGAAAAAATAATGAAAATAATTAGACCACATCACTACGGCTTAAAATGGCATGGATTCTTCCAAATGATTACAGCAAGTTATTTTTTGTCATAACTTTACTTACTTTTTTTTTGTTGAAAAAACGAACGGCAGCAGAGCTCCCTACTGAGACTGTTTGGCCCTTGAAAATCCGCAACGTATTATGTAAATATTGATATATGGATAACCATTGTCATTACCACATTAGATGCTCACTTGTGAGTTACATGTAACCCCTATTCTTACATTATTATCTCTCATTCATATGCATTGATATAAGGATATAGTGGTTACCAAAGTGTGTCTATAAATAAAGTATATTATTGTATCAAAATGAAAAGAATGAATAAAAAAGCCCACTTCCCCTATCTTCTTTGTATCTTTCCCTCTCTAATCTTCTCTTATAGTTATTTATATTACATTAGTTTCCTAACACAAGGAAGTTTTTGTTATAATTCAGTTGAGTTTTTACTAAACCATTTTAAGTAGAGTTAATTGTAAAAGCATTAGCTTTCTGAAGTGGAGCCGGATTTTTTGAAAACGTGTATTTCGGTTCCCCAGAGTGATTGGGGTATTCCAAAGGAGCTAGGCAGCCACGCGTCACGCTGCCTGTAGCTACACGCCACCTCCCGTTGTGGGCTTGTGGCCGAGGTCGGCAAGTTTTCCAGAAACTTCTTCCAACTCCTGGCCAGAATTCTCCGCTGCATCTCGCGGCTGAAACTACAACACGTGTCCACCCTACCACGTGAGCATCCGACGTGGCGAGCCGATTTCGCGGAATTTGATACGCCCCTCCGCCGTCCCCAGCGCCCCTCTTCCTCAAACCTTTTTTCCGGTTTATTTTGTCTTTCATCTTTCAATGAATCCCGTTCACCAAATCCGCCGCCCCAAAACCTCTAGGTCTCCGGGAGCTCTTCCCAATTTCTCCGTCTTCTTCTAATTCCCCTGCTTCTTCCTTTCCTTTCCTTTGCTTGCCTTTGCCATTTCCCCCTCCTTCACCGCTCGGCGATGAATGGGGAAGGAAGAGAGGACGAAACTGCGAAGGACAAGGATAAGTTGGTTTTCATGTGCGGCTACCTTCCCGGAGCTCTCCCTGAGCGGTCCCCGATTTCCTCTCCCGTCGTTGTAAGGTCCGACGGCTTCGGCTGGAAGGATGCCTGCGGCGGCGGCTGCGGCTTCGCGATGGCCATTTCAGGTTCTTCTTGTTCCTCTACCTGCTTTCTCTTCCCTTTTCCCATTTCCTTCTGTTTTTCTATTGGGTTTTCTGCTCTCTTCTGAGCTTTTGGATTCTAGAAATGGTGTTCGACTAGAGTCGAATTACTTCTGCCATTGGCGTTGAATAGTTATGCTATGACTAACTGATTCTCAGCTGGAAAATGTTCTCTTTGGCCCATTAACGAATAGTTAGGTTTCCTCTGTATGTTGGAAGCTTCTCAGAGAAGCAGGATAGCGGTTGATTCGTATTGACAAAGTGGCTTCCCAATCCTTTTCATGCCCTGCTAGAGTCTGCTTACTAAAGTTTGCTTCTTTTACGTCTTGGGATTCCTGGGTTAACATGCTAGACTGGGATTGTCCATACTGTTCTGAGTTTGCTTCCACTCTGTGTAATTCCTGCTCGTGGAAACCAGAGGTCCTTATCTTATTTCCTGGAACCAATTCACTCAATCCCAATCCCAAACTAGCTCTCACATCCCCGAGAAGCAGCTATCTTGACTCATTCAGTCGAATTTTAGTAACCCATTGAGCTTTTTGGTCTTTGATTCCTACGACTAAGTGCTCTTACAGATTGTTCTTTATTTCCAATTAGACTCTGGGAAGCTTATTACGTGGGGTTCAACCGACGATCTTGGTCAATGCTACATCACAGCGGGAAAACATGGGGTAAGGCTTCTCTTGTTTCATTGTGGAGTTACAATTTCCGGGAGCTTTTCTTTGGCTTGTTTCTTAGAGAGCTGAACTCCCTCTCTTGCTTCTCCATCACAATTTTGTCCGCAAAGGAAATCCCCGAGCCTTTCCCTGTTCCAACTGATTCTGCCATCATAAAGGCTGCAGCAGGCTGGGCTCACTGTGTAGCTGCTACAGGTACCATATATGTTTGTTTTTCTATCCATAAATGACTTGCCTCTAAAGTCAATGCCCTTGTGCGTTGGGTGTTTTCATCCTTACTGTCATTAGCTCAACTCCTTGGAGTTGGTACAATTTATGTCTTCTTGTTTGTACAAGAGCAGGGGTGACCCAGAGTTTCTTCGTCCTTGAGTTTGTGGTTTCTAAACACCGGTCCATAGCCCTGGTTAACTCTGTTCTTGTTTTCCCCGAGTTCAGATGTTGGGGAAGTGTATACGTGGGGATGGAAAGAGTGCATTCCTTCAGGGAAGGTATTTGGAGATCCATCTGCTTCCAGAAGTTCAGAGAACGATGTTCCAGAAAGACCGGGTCCGTCTGCCTTGGACCAAGGTAATTAGTACGAGAAGAACGATAGACTCATGTGGATGTACTGGCTAGTCTACTGATCCTTGTTTGTTTCAGTTAGCCCTCGTCCTCAAGCTTCCAAATCCGGAGGTGGGAATTCAGGTGTTAATTCTAGAGGTGCGGATGAAAGTACGAAACGGAGGAAAGTATCTGGAAAACAGACATCTGAACCCTCATCTTCTGGGGATGAGTTGTTATCAGCAGTGCCTTGTTTGGTTACACTTAACCCAGGAGTAAGAATTGTCACTGTAGCTGCTGGAGGCCGCCATACTTTGGCACTTTCAGGTAATTCCTATCACCCAAGGAATGTGTACTGCACCAGACTTTTGATATGTAGTTGTGGTATTTACAGTATTGAACACCGTATATGAAGCTTGTAGCTACGGAAGATCTTGAAATGAGAAGCAAGATTCTCGAGGTATCCTAATTTTCTCAAAGTCTTCAGATATAGGACAGGTATGGGGTTGGGGATATGGAGGTGAAGGCCAGCTTGGCTTGGGCTCCAGGATCAGAATGGTGTCTTCTCCACATCCTATACCCTGTATAGAGTCTTCTCAGGGTAGAGATAAATCCGGGGGTTATTCTCGAGCAGGCATGACTTCAGAGGGCCAAACATTTCGAGTAGTTGGAAATTATGTTAAAGCAATAGCCTGTGGTGGCCGGCACAGTGTTGTTATCACGGGTATGATTTTGATCTTTTGTTTTGCATCTACCTGAATCATATAGTCTACTCAATGTAGTGTGGTACCTTGATTCCCTTTATGGCCTAAGTACGTGTGATGATTTGCCTCTAAAGTTGCTGCATCCGCAGATGCGGGAGTATTGCTCGCTTTTGGCTGGGGACTCTATGGGCAGGTACTTATTCGTGCTGTTTTTCCTACTGCTCTGAACGATAAGCTCTAATGTTTCTGAAACTTCACTTCGAAGGTCTGGTCTATGATCTATTATTATTCTTGCAACTTGGAGGTCCCACTTAATAAGATCTTTGGATCCGTACTTCACAGCTAAACCAAATTATTGACCGACTCTTGGAGGGTTGATCTCTTGGCAACTTGATATGCTTTGATTAAGGATCTTCCCGTATTATGCCTTATTTACTTTCTACATAAAAATGGGGTGTTGCTAAAGCTTAACTCTGAACGGCCTCTTGCTCTATTCAAATGGGCTGGTTAAACATTCGTTCCAATCTGTATGATGTTGCTGATGTCCGATGAAATTGTAGGTAAGCTGAAATTGGTCACCATCAAAAAGCAATTGTTGATGTTGGAAGATGATGTCCACTCTTAACAAGAGATAAACTACTACTCTTTTTACCTTCTCCATTAGTATTACCCCTCCCTGCTATTAGCTTGATTAAGAATCTCTGCTCTTAAATGGTGTAGCAGGACTTTGTACCCTTCATATTTGTCACTTGTATATTTTCTCCAGTGTGGACAAGGTACTACGGATGATGAGCTGAGTCCAACCTGTGTATCTTCAATGCTGGGCATTCGGATGGCAGCAGTCGCTGCCGGGCTGTGGCACAGTGTCTGCGTTTCGGATGATGGTGATGTTTATGCGTTTGGTGGGAACCAATTCGGACAGCTGGGAACTGGGGTTGACCAAGCAGAGGTAGCTACCATAAGCCACCTTTCCTTTCACTTCATCTCGCGAATGCTTTGTGTTACGCCATCTGCATTTCATTGACGTGAATTTTCGTGAGAAAAAACAGACACTTCCCAGGCTACTGGATGCTCCGAGTTTGGAAAACGAAAGTGCAAGGATGGTCTCCTGTGGCGCTCGTCACAGTGCCATAGTAACCGGTAAGCAAACTGAACACCCTCGTTTGTTGTTCTGTTAGTAATGTACATGCAACTGCTGACATTTTGGCTGCTGACTATCTCGTTTAAGGGGACGGGAAAGTGTTCTGTTGGGGGTGGAACAAGTACGGCCAGCTCGGGCTGGGAGATGTGATCGACCGCAACATTCCTTCGCAGCTCGCCATCGAAGGCTATACCCTTAGAAGCGTGGCTTGTGGGTGGTGGCATACCCTGTTGTTAGCTGAACACCAGCTGCCTTGAGGGCTTTGCCTAGCTAGGTTCTAGTTTGGATTGTAGCTTTCATGTTGAACCTCAATTTTTGTTAGAATTAGCATGCAGTTCAGCATCTGCTATTGATCTCTGTAACACTGCCACCAATGGTCTACCTCGATGCATGGTGATTCTTGCCATATGTATATATCTCCGCTCGCCAGTGTTTGACGCTTTTGCTGTTCATGGTGGCACGTCAGGATTTGACTATTTTAGTTCCGTTTGACGTGATTGTGAGGATGTATATAGAGCTCACTTGAATTTATCTGGTGTGTGGGTTATCAGCTAGGTTTTATCGCATGACATGATGTCGTCAGTGGTGTGGTGGCCGACCAAATTGCTTGTCTATCCCTCCAGGTAGTGGACCAGTGGTTCCTCGTTGTCCTATTTCATGGCAGCCAGCCAAATTGACCATTTGGGAGGTTGAGTATCAACTGTGAAAGTTGAATGACCGTCGCCACACAGTTTCTCTTCTTTTTCTTTGTGCTAAAAAATTATGGACCTACCGTATCCTGACTAACAAAAATTTGGTGGTGATTGGGGTTGGTTACGATTTCAAATTTGCATTGCTCATTCTTATGGTATTTTGCAGCAAGTATCGAAAAATGGTATCATATCGGTGATTCGATAAGAAAAACCTCATATCAAAAGTGGAATCGGTATGCAGTATTCTGTACAAAATAGCGTATAATTTCTAGGACGATTTTTTAATTCTTGCTTTTTATCTCATCTAGTTAAGTGTTGTGAGTTCTCATTCAAGAACCATTTGGCGGGCATGAGCGCTGTCCAAAGTTTGATTCATTTGCATTCCACAATTAGGTAGTCTTGGTATGAAGGTTGAACCCTAGAGAGATTGCAGGTGGTTAAGTGTTTGGTAGATAAATTGTCCAGAGGTTTAATGTTACTTCTTCCGGGCCGGATTTACTGTCAAAGTTTGGTAGATAAATTGTCCAGAGTGTTTGACAATGCGTTCAATCAAATAGCGTGAATGCTTCGTAGACGAGCACCACGGCGTTTTATTTACAAAAATGTATTTGTGAGCAATTCGACGAACAATATGAGCACGTACGTTTTCATAGATGTGATACGGATTGCTTGAAATGTAGTTGATGGAGCAAAGAGGAACTAGAATGAAGTATTGTCTAGCCCCACAATGAAATGCCCTCGCAACTCAGACCAACAAAGTCTGTCGCTTTCGGTGGATTACTGACCATTCACACAATGAGTTCCATACCCAGAAAAGGGCACAGCATGTGACTGGCTAATTAACCACCATCACCATGGCAGTATTAGCTCATTTTGAGCTCGAAGTTGGAGGGAAAGAAGGAGAAGCTTCGTGATGAGAAATGGCGATAAGACAACAAGAAAAAAAGTAACTTTGCGAAAATTCCTTCCTTGAGGCACGCGGGGAACTCATCGGCGCTGGCATTTGCTCGCCGGCCTGAGATTCACATTTAGAACCTTCACCGGCTTGGGTGGCCAGTGCTGCAGAGGAGATTCAGGGAGCTCCTTTACTTATGAATTATGATGTATCAGATGAATCCCTGGGTGGGTGGGTGGGTTGGCGGCTGAAACCTAAGAGAGGGGTTGCAGTATATAAAGGCGCAATAGGTTTAGGTGGGCTCTATTTTCTTCTTATAGAGGCCCATAACCGACGATGAAACAGGCCACTGGAGGCCCTCATCCGTGATTTGATATGGGCTGGAATGAAGTTCCCTTTGGGCTTATTCAGGCCTATCAAATTTTAATGTCTAAAGAGAGTTGGTTCTGTGAGACTGACTAATCATTTATCATTATCGATCTTTTTTAGATACTTTATTAAAACAACATAATAGTCTTTGATCTCTAGAAGCGAGTCCCTTGTTCTCCCAAGCTTATCCACGAGCGTCTTGCAATGGGTTTCGGTGGTTGCTGACAACAAGTCATTTGCGTGTGTGCTAATTGCATATCCTGTTTGAAAGTCTTCAACTCAATCAGCTTCGACGACCATCTGATTCTCTCTCAGCATACATTTGTCAACTCTAACTGATCATATCCATCGTGGAACACAATTCATGATGGGTCTATAGAGGACGGACGAGTAAATTCTAGCTCGTTACGGTTATGTATTATTGCAGACTTGATGATAGTTGTAATGACATATCCCTGATTGATAAGTTACGAGCAATTTGGCTATTTATTGTGAATGAAAACAACAACAATAATAATAATAATAATAATAATAATAATAATAATAATAATAAAAGATGGAACAAACAATGGTAAAACACAATGACATGAAATCAAAAGAGAAAATCATAATAATGAAGAGTGTGATGATGGCAAGGTTGTCAACCCGCGGGTTGACCCGGACCCGGTTGAGCTAGTGGGTCAAGGGTTAACGGGTCACCCGTTTTAGCCCGGAAATATGGAAAGAGTAATTATATTGTACTTATCCTGATAAATTATATAAAATCTCATCTAACATATGAGTAATAACATATAACATTACACCAAAGTAACATGTCGTACTTAAATCCAACATATAGTGAAAATTCACACACACTTATATAACATCAATATTTAAATGTTCAACTAAGGATTCCAAAAATTGAGTTAGCTAGGCGAAAAGAAAAATCGGTAAATAGGCGCATTTCGCAAACCAAGGGAAAAAATGACACAATATGACCTCCAACCCGGTACCTTGTAGTGGTCAACCCGGCGGGTGCGTGAGACCCGTTTTTCTCACTGGATCAGGGTCAAAGTGGGTCAACCAATGGGTCGATCCACGGGTTGACAACCTTGGATCATAGATAGGTCATAGGTGTGATGTCGGTTCTTGGTTTGAGGTTTGAAGATCGATTAATTATGTGTTAGGTAAAGTGTTTTCTTTCTCATTCCTTACTCTTGCAAGTTGCAAGAGAGGGGAAGGGCCACCTCTCGGAGCTTTGACCCGAGCTTTCTTCTTAATTATTTATATCTAGGGACTAGGCTACTTAACCTTCCGTTGTGGAAATAACACTCCACTCCACTCATCTATTCTGGGGTCGATTCGCTGCTCACTGCAAAAGGAAGAACTTGAAAACAGGCTTTTTATAAGGCCAAGCAAGCGAGTGAATCTGTGGGCTTATTTGTACCGAAAACACTTAATGGCGTGACAACCAATTAAATCAAAGTCTTTCAATTAAATTGTTTTTTTTATGGTGATTCAATTAGAATTAAAGAAATAATGTTTCTAGAAAGAAAGACTTGGAAAGAAGTGGGATGACAGGGAAGTAACCCAATATTTGCATGTCATTTTCACTACAATGATGGTAGGGCTGCAAACGAGTCGAGTCAAGTCGAGTTTTTGTTTAATTTGAGCTCGATTGGTTTTTAAATTTTCTAATTCGAGTTCGGCTCGAACTCGAATTTTGATAATCCAGCTCGAACTCGAGCTCGACTCGATTAAAAATAATTCAGCTCGAGCTCAACCCGGTAGAGCTTAGCTTGACAAGCCACCAGTGGCGGATCCAGAAATTTTAGGTAGGGGTGTCCTCTCTAAAAATTAAATTAAATTAATAATAAAAAAATTATTCAATAAAAAAATATCCGATTTATGTGAATTACAACAAAGCACACGACGGGTTTCATATTTTGGAGACATTGTAAAATACATCGTTGTCTAACATTGCTCTACAAATCTCTCTTGATATTTTCGACTAGACAAGGGGAGCCTGTAATTGTGTTTAATCGTTAGCTTTGGAAAATAATTGGGGATAAGGAATAGCTTTTTACTATTATATTTGGATTTAAAATACAAGAAAAAAGGAGTTGTAGTCTAATGAAAAGTATGCTTACTAATAGTAGCAGTGATCCGAGTTCAGATTATATAGACTACCACTTAAATATTTTTATTTACCCATACGCAAACTATTGCTAGAGGTTAGATAATCATTTGCCCAATTTTTAGGGTGTCTCACTACCACTTAAATATTTTTTTCACCCATACACGAACTACTATCAGAAGTTGAATAATCGGGTTCCCAAGGACACCCCTAAAGCTGCATGTATCCGCCACTGCAAGCCACCGAGTCAAGCTAGCTCACGAACTTATCAAGCTCAGCATGATCTAGGTCAAACTTGGCTTGTTTATTAACAAGTTGGCTCGCGAGCCACCTTGTTAAATAACGAGCCAAATTGTTTGAACCTAACTGAGTGTAGGAGTGAGGTTCAGGGAAGATGTGGGTCAAGAAGAGTAAGCTAGAGGAAAATCAGGAACTTTGGGGGAGAGTTTGAGAGAATTCCCGTTTAGAGAGAGAAGTTTGATGTTTATAGAGAGAGAGTGGCTAAAATGCGATCCCCTTCACCCACCGGAGTAAATGCCATATTTATAGGCTACATGGTGGTGGGTGAGTGGGTGGATTACATGATGGGACCTTGACTCTGATGTGACCACTGACATGTCGGGGATTTAGGCCATCCCCCTACCTAGGACATGTCAGGGGTGTACCTACGACTGTGTCACTGATCCCAACGCGGCTGACCCTCGGGAAGTGTGAGGGGAACTTCCTATGGCTTCGTGGCTTACAACGCGCCTGAGCCTCCGCGCCTTGATACTTTACACCCTCGCGCAGCTTGTGAGGAGCTCTGGGTCTTCGCGCGTTGGTTCTCTCCGCTCGCGCACGCGTAGTGGCGCGCCCTTAAGCCTTCATGCGCGCCTTAGACCTTCGTGCGCGCCTTCTGTCGGCGTGTCCTGCCTTGCACAGCTAGGTCCGAGTCACATGCCCAACAATTGCCCCCCATCAGAGGGTGTTCTGAGAACGCCCTCTGTTTAGGTCTTCGCTTGATTGACTCGGGCCTGGGCGCGGTTCCCGGGGTTCCTCGTGTGCGCCTTGCCATTTCGTAGCCGCGCGAGAGGCTCTGTTGTAGTTGCCTGATAGCGCGCGATCTCCGGGGGATTCTGATTCGCTTGAGATGCGTGCGCTCGGTCCTTGTGAGATCTTGTGAGATTCGAATCATCGATGGCACGGCGATTGATCGAGCGTGATTATCGCGGCTGCGATTGTTCCTCGCGTGTTCCGTAGCTTGCGCGCGATGTTCTATTGTGGTTGCCTGATTCAGTGCGGTCCTTGGGGTCCGGGATTCTGAATCACGTGCGCGATCTTTGCAAGATTTTTTCTTTTTCCTCGCGGGTGTGTCATGCCCCCCAGGCGTTGTGCGTAACTAGTTACGTCAGCGGCTAGTACCTACTTCGAATAGGTGTCCACGTGTCCTTACCTGGTTTGTCCGTTTGGGCGGGCGAATTTCGAAATTCGAAACGTCTGACGGTTGCGATCTTCGAGGTTACTTTAACCCTTCGTCTTTCCTCTAATAACTATAAGTATCGACCCGTTTGGGGAGTGGGATTCATTCTGCCTCATTCTTC